GGACAGCTGTCTCTGGATGGAGACAAGTGGGGACCAGCACAGAGCCTGTAGTTGACTCCATGTAAGGCAGAGATGCTCCCATGTTCTTCAGGGAAAGCCGGCAGCCACGACGTGCCAGGAGGCTCAGACAGCCCAGCGCTGGGGAGAAGGCAGCGGGGCCATCTCCTCTGGGCTGCCCAGGTGTGGGGACCTGATCTCGACTCCCCAGATTCTTGTTTCCACCCTGCCTAAAGAAAAAAACGCCACTGGTAGGTCTGGACCGCGTGGCCTGGGGCTGCAGTTCCCCTGTGGTTTCTACCAGCAACCCTTCTGCACCGCCCGCTGCGCCTCTGGGTGCGTTAGTCACCGGAGTCACGTAGGTGTTAGCAGAAACCAACAAGCAATAAAGCTTTTGGAGCCGCTGGCCCGCAGACCTCCCGCCCCGCAAATCCGCGGCCCTACAGGCTCCAGACCTCCCTCCTCGGCAGTGCGGGGTTTTGATTCCCACTGTAGAAAAGAGCCCATTAAAAAAAAAACCACACACCAGCCGTGGAAAGAGGCCCCACTGGTGGACTTTGGGTTGGTCTGTGGAGGGCCAAGAGGGACACGGGTGCTGGTGGACTGGCCACCGACGATGGACTCCCCTCTGGGGGACAGGGCTGGCACAGGGGTATCCTCTGGGAGGGCCAGCACCGCCCTATGATTAATTAAGTGCTTGTGTAGGAAGGTAACGGCGCTCTGGGCTTCGTTTGGGTCTTTGCCCTTGGACTCCCTGGTTCAGGATCTGGTCCAAGGCCTGCAGAAGGCAGTAGCAAAGACTCCCGGAGGCCATCCGACCCCGGAGCCGGTGGACATGGTGGCTCTCTTTGGTAACATCAGCCTGGCCTGGCTCCTTCAGTTAGTTTGCTCCCAAAAAAACTGAGAACAAAAGCCAAATCTGCTGCCAAACCTCCCCGCACAAAAAAAAACCCCAACTCACGCCAACACCGGGGTTAGTTTTCCCAAGCACCTCTGTTTAAATACAGTCCTGGTCACCAGTGACTTTGGGGTCTTTATTGTACGGGGCACGGAGCCCCCCACCACATAAGGCTCCCCTCTGGAAACAGGCACTGGTAGCGAGCCCTGCATCAAACCCCAGCTTACAGTTGCTCATGCTGATTAACTGCAGTTCGTTAGGGAGATTACAATCTGTTTCCTACTCGTGCGGCTTTGAGCATTTGCTCACACAGCTCTTCCACCCCCCCCGGTTCTGTTCCTTTTTTACAATTATTTTTCGCTGTGCCTGACTGCGAGAGGCCCTTTCCGCGGGTGCCGGCGGAGCAGCATTGCTGCCCCAGGACAAAGCGGCTCTGTGTGCCCGCGAGCGTGACCAGGTGGCCCCATGCCCCGGTCCCACGCAGCCTCACCGACACCCTGGTGGCTGCAGGCCTCGCGGCGACGGCCCCGGTGGCCCTGGAGCTGCAGGTCACAGCAGGTCAAATCCGTCACCTCGCCTCGTCCATCCCACCGCGCTGGGACACAGCGGGGGGGGCCCCTACAGCCCCACCCTGGTTTGGGGTCCCTGCCTGGCCCTGTGCCGTCCTGGCCGGTCCGTTTGGATACAGGATCCCTCTGCTCTGCACAGGTTTTCTGGCGGAGCGAGACCTTCCCAGCGTACTGCACGGAAGGCTGGGACCAAGGCACGGAGGGGCCGTGGTACGAATCACCGCAGCCTCCCGGGGTGACCCTCGCTGCTCCGTGTGATCCGCAGGCAGAGCAAGAACGGGGAGCGTGCCAACGGCCAGTCTCTACTGGGAAGGAAATGGGCTGGGTGGAAATGCGCTGATGGGAGAATGGGAGATGGTGAGGGGCCTGGAGCATCTCTCCTACGAGGAGAGGCTGAGGGAGCTGGGCTTGTTCAGCCTGGAGAAGA